TCCAGACTGATGAACCCACCAAGATGCACTTCTTCAAGGAGGGTTTGAAGTCTGAGGTCAAGTTCCACCTTCATCGGTCTCCGCCCCGCTCCCGCTTCCCTGCCTGAGTTGATCAAGGCAGCGGTCGAGTACGACGATGCCCTCCATCGTCTCAAGATCTCCTCCCGTTCCCAACCTCCTCCTCCTTCTTCTCGCTCTGCTCCCCATCACCACCATTCTCCCGCGCATGTTTCTTCTTCCTCCTCTTCTGCACCCACTCCCATGGACCTTGACTCTGTCTCGGTCCGCCCTGCTAAGCTCTCCGACGTCGAGAAAAAGCGACGTCGTGAGCAGGGTCTCTGCTTGTACTGCGGGGAAAAGTCTTGTCCCGGCAGTCGCGATGTTCAGCAGTGCCCGGTTCTGGTCAAACGGAACTCGGGAAATGCCCACAGCCGAGCAGCACCTCGCAAGTAAGCGAGGTGGTCTGTTCGGCGATACGAACATCTTCCCCCTCTGACTCGTCATTATCGGACGATAAGCTTCTTCTTCCGGCCACCCTTGTCGTCATGAGTCTTTCTGGCCCGGTCTCCATCTCCCTTTCTGTCTTTATTGATGATGGATGCACCGCTCTTGCCCTCATTGATCCTGCCTTTGCGGATCTCCATAAACTCTCTCTTATCCCTCTTTCTACTCCCTACTCCGTTTCCCTTGCTGATGGTTCTTCGGCCGGTTTCATTCGTTTCCAAACCGTTCCTGTGACGTTGACCATTGGTTCCCACACCGAGTCGATTTCTTTTCTTGTGACTCGACTCTCCACCACTCCCATCACTCTTGGTCTTCCCTGGATGCGCTTGCATAATCCAGTTGTCAATTGGAAGTCCCTCTCCCTTTCGTTCTCCGATCCCTCTTGCCTTGCTGATGGACACATCCTCGCGGATGTCTCTGCTTCCTCCTTGGACACTTCGTCCCCTTCCGGCTATTCGCCTCCCCCTTCGGGCACTTCGCCTTTGACTCCTCCCTCCGGTCCTTCCCTTACACCGGTTCCCTCCTTTGGCACTTCGCCTTCCCTTTCTTCCCGCCTTGACTCTGCTTCGCTTTCTGAAGAGCCAACGGCTTTATCTTCGCCCGACATTGAGCTCGTTAATGCGGCGAGTCTTCTCCGTCTTGCACGGGAAGACAAGCTCGACATTTTCGCTGCCCAAATGGATATCCGTCCTCCTTCGCCGGAGACGTATCCTACGGTGTCGATAAGGTCCGTGCTCACGACGAAGGTGTATGCCGAGTCTGGCACCCCTGTTGACTCTCGAGGTGTCCCGCTCAAATACAATGAGTTTGGCGACGTTTTCAGCCTCAAGTCTGACCCTCCTTCTTCCTTGCCTCCTCACCGTCCGTATGACTTGTCTATTGAGTTTGTACGGACCGAGGATGGAAAGGAACCTCGTTTGCCAAAGCCGGGGAAAGTCTATCCTTTGTCCCCGGCCGAGGAATCTGCTCTTTCGGAGTATCTGACCAACGCCCTCGCACGTGGTTGGATCTCCAAATCCTCTTCTCCCGTTGGTGCTCCCTGCTTCTTCGTGAAGAAGCCCAATGGTGGTCTTCGCCTTTGCGTCGACTACCGGGGCCTCAATGCCATCACGAAGAAGAACCGCTACCCTCTTCCCCTCTTCCAGGATCTTCTGGATAAACTTTCTTCTGCCCGCGTCTTCTCACACCTTGACCTTCCTGATGCTTACCACTTGGTTCGTGTCAAGAAGGGCGATGAGTGGAAGACTGCTTTTGTTTGCAAATCTGGCTCTTACGAGTACAATGTTATCCCCTTTGGTCTTTCGAATGCCCCCGCTGCTTTTCAGTTTTTTATGAACGACATCTTCTCGGACCTCCTTGGTGTCTGTGTTGTCATTTATCTTGACGACATCCTGATCTTCTCAAAAGATCCCCTGGAGCATGAGGAGCATGTTAAGCTTGTTCTTTCTCGCCTTCGTGAACACTCTCTTAAGGTCAATCCGGCCAAGTGTTCTTTTGACCTTTCTGAAGTTGACTTTCTCGGCATGATCATTTCTGCCGATGGCATCAAAATGGACCCTGCCAAGGTCGAGGCCGTTTCCCTTTGGCCTGTTCCCTCTTCTGCTCGCGATATCCAAGTCTTTATTGGTTTCGCAAACTTTTACCGCCGCTTCGTCAAGGACTTTTCCGCACTTGCTCGTCCTTTGACTTCCCTCACTACCAAATCCTCCACCTTCTCTTGGTCTCCCGAGGCCCAAGAGGCTTTTGATTCTCTTAAACTTTCCTTCACTTCCGCACCTATTCTTCGATACTTTGATTTCTCTAAACCCGCTGTCATCGAGCCCGATGCTTCTGACTTTGCTTTGGGTGCCGTCCTTTCTCAGTTTGACCCTGACGGCGCTCTTCACCCCGTTGCTTTTCACTCTCGGCAATTCCGTCCCGCCGAGGTGAATTATGACACTCACGACAAAGAGCTCCTCGCCATTGTCGATTCCTTTACCGCCTGGCGTCATTACTTGATGGCTGCCGACCCTGATATTCCCACTCTTGTTTTCTCTGATCATCAGAACCTTACCCGGTTCACTGCCGCTTCTCAACTTTCTCGCCGCCAGTTCCGGTGGGCCCAATTCCTTTCTGACTTTGCTTTTCGCATTTACCACCGCCCTGGTCGTCTCAACACCAAAGCCGATGCTCTCAGTCGCCGTTCTGACTTTGAGATAAAGCCTGGTGACTCCCTCCACTCCACCAACTTCCTTCAGCTGTTCGAGTCTATTTCTCTCGACAGCATCACTGTTATCGGCTCGAATCCCGACTTTCTTTCCGAGATTCGAGCTGCCACCCTTTCTTGTTCCCTCCTTTCTGACTTTAACGCCAAACGTCTTGATGGCGATTACTCCTTCCGTGACGGTCTCCTTTACTTTAAAGACCTGATCGTTGTCCCTTCCCCCGAGCTCCAGCTCAAAGTGTTTGAGCAACGTCACTGCTCCGCTGCCGCTGGTCACTTTGGTCTTGCCAAGACCGTTGAGCTCATCTCCCGGGACTTTCACTGGCCCCGGCTTCGTAAGTCTGTGCGTCGCTTCATTGCTAATTGTGAAGCGTGCCAGCGAGCCAAGCCGTCCCGTCACTCCCCTTATGGTTTACTTCACCCTCTCCCCGTTCCTTCCGAACGTTGGTGGGACCTGTCGATGGACTTCATCACGGATCTCCCACCTTCGAACGGCTTTGACTCGATCTTCGTGGTTAAGGACCGCCTGTCCAAACAAGCACACTTTGTGCCCACCACGAAGACGGTTACAGGCGAGCAAACCGCCGAACTCTTCCTCTCCCACATCTTCCGCTTGCATGGTTGTCCCCGGTCTATTGTTTCGGACCGAGGAACTCAGTTTACTTCGGCCTTCTGGAGGCGCTTCAATGAGCTTCTGAAGACGAAGATTTCCCTTTCTTCTGCCTTCCACCCCGAGACCGACGGTTCGACCGAGGTTCTCAACCAGGTCATCGAGCAGTATTTGCGTATCCATTGCAATTACCTGCAAGACGACTGGACCCTTCACCTTCCCCTTGCCGAGTTCACTTACAACAACTCGGAAAACACCTCCACTGGCATGACTCCCTTCTTTGCAATCCATGGCCATCACCCCATTTTTGATCCCTCCATCATTCGTGATCCCTCTGTTGTGCCCTCTGCCGAGGAACGTGTCGACCGACTTCAGACCGTTCTCGAGGATCTCAAGGCCAACCTCCGGGTTGCCCAAGAGTCCTACACCGTGCAGGCCAACAAATCCCGTCTCCCCACTCCCGACATCTCCGTTGGCGACCTCGTTTTTCTTGATCGTCGCCACATCCGCACCCTTCGTCCCTCCAACAAGCTTGATCAGAAAAAGCTTGGCCCCTTTAAAGTTCTTCGCCGCATCAACCCCGTTGCCTTTGAGCTTAAACTCCCTTCCACACTCAAAGTCCACCCCGTCTTTCATGTATCCCTCCTTGAACCCCGAACGAAGGACATTGTTCCCGAGTTCACCCAACCCGAACCACCTCCCATTCTTGTTGACTCCCAGGAAGAGTTTGAGGTCGAGACTGTTCTCGATTCTCGGCTCTTCCGTGGTCGCTTACAGTACTTGGTTCAGTGGAAGGGCTATTCCGAGACTGACCGGTCTTGGGAGCCCGCTGCCAATGTTTCCCACGCCACTGATCTTGTTGCTGACTTCCACCTTCGCTATCCCTCAAAGCCGAAGGCGACGTCCGGAGTTCGTCGCTAAGGAAGGGGATGATGTTAGGGATAGCTCCTGCTTGTTTTCCACTTTGACTGCACACTTGGTTGTTCCTTTGCGCTTTCTGTTTGTTTGTGTGTAGCTTTGTAGTTCCCCTCCGATTTTCCGCCTTTTGCCTGTCTTTTCCGCTCCTTCCGCACTTCCGTTTTCCCGCGCTGCTCCGCTTCCTTTGTCTTCTTCGCACGCGCCGGTTTGTTTGTGCACGCGCCTTGCTGCGATTGGCTGCAATTCGGCTGCCGGTCATGTGTCCCCCCACCGGTGACTCATGACCTGCCTGACCGCCCCGATCTCTTGTTCATCTCGCATGCATTTGCCCCAACCTTATACTTGACCAATCCGCTTCTTGGATGTTGAGTCACATTGCTTCGCCTTTGCACGTTTCTCCTGCCAGGTGCTTCGCTTTTGCTTGCGCCTCTCTCGCTTTGGTTCTCTGCCCGTCTCGGTGGTCCTTCTCGGCCCTCGTTCGTGCATCGCCCCCTTCGCCCTGCTCGATCGCCCACTTTTCCCTCCCTTGGCCGCCCTTCGCTGCCAAGTCCGGACTTGTCTATAAATAGCCTGACCCCCGCGATGTGTAGTCGAACCTCAGCGTTCAAAATAGGACTAAATAAAGTGCCTTCTACTTTATTCTCTGAGTGTTCCTCACGTCTCATTTCGAGACAAGTCTTATCTTGAACGGATCTTTGCTTCCCTCGCTCCCTCTCCGAGTCCACTTCGGACTTTACCCTTGCTTTCCCTGAGCTCACTTCGAGCTCACTTCTTCTTTTGCCGTTGAGTCCCCTTCGGACTCTAACACCGATCCGCATCTGTCCATCTGGACGACAGAATCCAGCCTTCTGGCACCAGGTGAGGAAGCGAGGCACCTTGGAGCTCAGGAGAGACTGGGCTCGTTTGCACACTCGGAGCAGGGCCTTGATGGTGCTGTGGTCGAGGGCAAGCTGGAAGCTATCGTTACAGCAGACGATGGTGAAGATGTCTGGGTTGTGTTCGAGTGAGAGCTGAGCGATATCGGGCATCGACGAGGTTGGTTTGGATTCATCTTGAGCTTGGTGGGCGGAAGATGCTGCTGTGTTTGGAGCAGGCTCGTTCATGCTTGCCAAGTTGATGGAGACAGGAGGGAGGCAAGTGGGTGATGGCGATGGACAGGAGACAGAGAGGCAGATTGCGGCGAAGCAAGCCAGACCCTGGCAGGCCAAGCACCACCACCAAACATACACACAAGCCTGGCTCGATCCGATGGTTTGCTGGCTGGAGTCGTTGTTGCTCAGGACATTGCCACAGGTATCGCCACATGCATTGAACATGGAATCAGACATGGAATCAGACATGGAATCAGACATGGAATCAGACATGGAATCAGACATGGAATCGAGTCTTCCTATTCACAGCACAGAGTCGACCAGACTCGGTCATGAAAAACAAATATGGAATGGGATTTGTGTGAGAGTGCGAGGTACAATCGACTCGAGGAACAACAATACTGGCCACATCTCAACCAGGCACGCATTGGAGAGTTGAGCGGGGTTGTGTCGTTCATTGGTGGGATGGAATGCGCAGATGTGACTCGGGAGTGAGGCGCGGGAGTGAGAGCGGGTGCAAGCATGGCAAAGGGTGTGCAATGGAGTCAATGAGAGGCAGGGACCATTGGAAAGAGAGTGTGTTCGCAGATCGCTCATAATCTCCGCTCCTTGGGCACCACTGGTCGCCACAGCCCTTCAAGATGATCGTGGTTGTGGACAAGTCGCCATTCATGTTTGACTATGGCGAGGGTGACTCGACAGTGTTTCGCAGGTTCAATCGAGCGGTCGTCACCAACCCGCAGGATCATGTCCTCAACTCCAGCGAGGTGCGAGTACTTCGACACTGATGCCCTGGTTGAAAGAGCCGAGTGGGCAGCGGCATTGCTGGGCATGCTGGTGCGTCGCTACAAGCAGACGATATCACCATCATCCAGCCCATCGGTTGAGTTCGAGTGCTGCCCTGAGACTGTCACCAAGGCCACAGTGGTTGCTATCCCCAGTACAAGCCCCGCTCCGAGTAGATGGCGCCCATGAGGAGGATTGTCGAGCGAGTGCGAATAGAACAGCGACAAAGACAAGCGCAGGTGGCATGCTGTGGCTTCGTGCTGGGTGCGCTGCATCAGTACAGCCATCGGTCAAGTTCACCAGATGTTCTTCCGTGCTGGCCTCGCTGTACTCAATCCCCTCTACCTCCTCTGAATCGTCGTCAGTGGCCATGTTTTCTGGGCAAAATGCTCGAGCATCGCCTGGGCGTACGTGAATCCTTGGGCTGCAGCCTTTGAGAGCCACTCGTCCGCTTTCTGCTTGCTTGCCGTCGAGTGGTTCATGTGTACTTGAGCACATTCTCAATGATCTCTTCGTGGTGGTCAAACACACGACCCTGCATGTAGCAGAAATCCAGGTACGTTGGCTCCATCGGATATCCAGCAGCTGCTGCTCCAGGGAGAAACATGAACACCTGTTGCCGTCTGATGCGATGTCGTGGCATGCATTCTCGTTCCGATTTGGTGTCGGTCTCATCCAGCACAATGGCCAGAATGTACATCACAGACACGCTTCCCCTCTCGTTGTAGGGAACAAGCCAGGAGAACTCGCACTTATCCTCGTCTCGGCAGAATCGAGTCAGCCTCGACATCAAGAATGGCTTGGGGCACCTGCACACGAGAAGGAGCTTCTCGATTCTGGCAAAATTCAGAGACATTTGAAAGTGCTCGTTCATGAGCAATGTCGAAGGCAATGGGGCCAACAGGCGACCAGGTGAGTCGATCATGGAAGTCATGGTGGATGGGATGTGGGGAGGTGAGGCTCGTATATA